CTCAAACCAAAGACAGTTTAAAGTCTGAAAAACAAGTTACAGGTCTCAGATAAATCCACAGACTGGATTAAGAATCTTTCCTTCTGTTTGGCATGCTTTCCTCTGATTGATCCCTACTACTCACCTATTTACATATACCTACCCTTCTTTAATTAGTTTTTTACACTGTCGTGCCTATCTTTGAGTGGTGCTTTTTTTTTTTTTTTTTTTTTTTTGCTTTTTTTGCATACTTACAAACCAATTAGTACATACACTCCCATCCTGGGCCCATAAAAGCCCCAGACTCAGCCACATTTTGGGACTACCCACTTTCAGGTGGTGGGAAGACTATACAACTTCAGGTAAAGGGGCTGCCCAACTCAGGCTCCTCTCTCTGCTGAGAGCTGTTCTGTCACTCAGTAAAACTCTTTGGCTCACTCACTCACTGGCTGTCAGCATAATTTCATTCTTGGACATGGGAAAAGAACTTGGGTCCTGCTGAATGGTGAGTGCAAACAAAGCTGTTACCCTGTAGCACTCCCCTCCCGCTTGCTGAACAATGGGAGAACGAACTGCTGGGCACCACACAACCCATTCATTGGGCTGTGAGACTGAAAGAGTTGTTAGCATGCTGTAACACCCCCTTTGGATTTTCAGGGTCACAAGTCCATCCCTGTTCTAGTGCCACAGCATTCCCCTCATCAGACACTAGTTTCCAAGGTGGAAGCAGGTCATTGCATGCCTGGCTCAGCTGTGGGGCAAGTGCCGGATCTGGGCCAGAGCTCAAGCCAAGCAGAGCCCGGCTGGCTGGGTGGGCGGGTATATCCTGTGGCAAGCCCAGGACCAAGCAAGGTCTGGGCATGGGCTTTGCTGGCCAAATAGGTCTCTGGCTGATGAAGTGGCACTGAAAAAATCCTGTGTCACTATATAAATCAGTATTACTTTCATAATAATATTGCTATTGCAGAATTTTTTATAAGAACCAATAATGCTCCAGTAATTTTACAAGTAGATCAAAATGGGGAAACATAAATAAATATATTATATCATAATTATTGAATAATTCACTCACCCTGCATAGCAGCACACTTAACACCAATGTACTCGCCACTCAGATTTAACAAGTATTAACATTTTGCCACATTTGCTCTAAAATTTTTTAAACCAAAATAAAACATGACCAATACAATAGAAACCTCTTTTTTACCACTCCTGAATTTCAACCCTCTCTTTTTAAAATTATGTTTTATACTTTCTGTAACCTATTTAATAAGAATTATTTCCTAGATTACAAATATAAATATAACACTCCAAATTTAGGTCTTCTGGTATAGCTATAATTTATTTTTATGTGCTGTATGAATTTTGACTTTCATTTACACTGCCCTCCACATAGTTATTCAGTCAGGACCATTAATAATACTTTCTTTTCTAATTGATTGTACAGTCATGTCTGTCATATACCAACAAATTCTATACATGAACGGGTCTGTTTTATGTATTCTCTTATATTTTATTAGCTTGTATTAATATCACTAATGTTTTGGTTAATAATTGCCTTTTTAAAAGTCTCCTTTGGCCAGTATCTTTAAGTTTTTATATTTTATATATATATATATATATATATATATATATATATAAATATATATAAATATATATATTTTATATTTATCTCATAAGTACTATGAGATAGATTTTCAAGAATATCTAAAGCTTTCCTTTAATAAACCATTTAATTAGCTTACATTGTTTCTATGTTCTTTCTGTTTTTATAGGATTAAATGTCTTTTCTTTGTTCTATCCTGCACCCTCCATTCATCTGGTGTAGAAGTTATATATTCTTTCTGTTCTTTTCGAGATTACCATTAAATTAATTTTTTTTTTGAGATGGAGGCTCGCTGTGTCGCCAGGCTGGAGTGCAGTGGCGTGATCTCGGGTCACTGCAACCTCTGCCTCCAGGGTTTAAGTGATTCTTCTGCCTCAGCCTACCAAGTAACTGGGACTACAGGCGCTCACAGCCATACCCAGCTAATTTTTGTATTTTTAGTAGAGACGGGGTTTCACCATATTGGTCAGGATCATCTTTATCTCTTGACCTTCTGATCTACCTGCCTCCTCTCAAAGTGCTGCAATTACAGGTATGAGCCACCACACCCAGCCATTAAATTAAATATTTAACAAGCATTATTGAACTTCTGAACTTCTGAATTTTTTGTGAGGAGAGACATAAACTGTCCTTTGCTGTGGACTATCTTTTCAAATATGTTTGTTAAAATAAACAGTCTTGCTAAACAGAAATAGAATCACTCTTTGGAACAAAGGACAGATTTACTAATAGCCTTAGACGAAAAAGGCTCTCTCTCAAACAAAGGGAAGGCATATCCATTAAAAAAAAAATCGTAATTCTCTAAGCTAATAGTTTCTCTCTTGTAATCCACTACATATGCAAGCATCATCTAGGTCCTTGATGTTGTCTCCATAGCATTTGAGAGTAAGAGAAACCAACACAAATATGCTAATGCTCATGCTGGTTGCTGTACTGTCAGTGATAAAGTCCTTTGTCTCTGGCCCAGGAATCTTATGTTTTCTTCCAGTATCCAGAAGACAGTAACAGGCTACCTTATTAGCTTCCAAGGAGGGTAAAATCAAATCTCAAATCTGAAAGATTCCCTGACTTAATGTCTAAATAAAATGAGCATTTTTTTTTAAATAATGCTAAATCATTAGACACATTTTAACTGATTGCCACCTACTTTTACCTTTCATGTTATTATTTAGAATTTTATTTTCACATTATTAGTCCTTCCCAAATTGGATTTATATATAACAGTCACTGTTCAAATAGATTTATCAACTTGTAGTATTTGATGAGTGATAATATTTAAAGAAGGTGGAACAGTGCTTGGTACACAGTAAACATTTAATATGTATTCATATTAATTATGTTTTAACAATATTTTTAGCTTAACATTGTTTCTTACATCATACTCATTCAGAATTCAATTTTCTGATAAACCAAAGTTATTTTTCCTTGCGTGTTTCCTTTCTTAATATTATCTGTGTTCTGGCATATGTCCAGGGATTTTTATCAGATTGTCTTTAAAATTCTACACATTATTTTTTAAAGAGATGAAGAGTTGCTATGTTGTCTGGTGTCAAACTCTTAGTCTCAAGTGATCCTGCTGCCTCAGCCTTCTAAGCACAAGCCACCATACCCAGTTTCCAGACATATTTGTCTACATAAACGTTTTCTGTTTTGGTTCAGTGCTGACCACAATTTAATTAGGTGCCCTCAAGAAAACTTTTTGAAATCAATTACCCTTTCTTTTAGTCTATGTTTTAGATATTTAGTATCCTTTTTTACTCAACAATCTAACACCATTACCAAGTTGGCAATCAGTTCCTTGATAGTTTCTTCAACTGTAGCCCTAAGACTGGGTCTAGTATTATTATATTACACCTCACATTTATAATGATAATGTACTCTAACAGCCTTTTATTTTTATTTTTTTAATTTTAAAAACCAGTTTTTATTAATTTTAAAAAATCCTTTATGTAAGTATTTTTCAAATTTAGGTTCATTAAATCAACGTATTAAATGAAGACATTTTCAAGAATAACACAAAGCATCACATGTAGGAAGCATAAAACACTGTTTTATAACACTTATTTCAGTTATATACACACACTACACATCACCACTCAAATTTTGTGTGCTCAGGTCTCAATATAAAATGTAATTTCTTCCAATGCATTGTAAGAATAAAGTTTTTAAGAAACTGCTTTATAGTACTCAATTAAACATGATCATATTGTACACCCGGGTCTCAATATAAAATGTATTTCTTCCCATGCATTGTAAGAATAAAGTTTTTAAAAAACTGCTTTATATATAGTACTCTTTTAAACATGATCATATAACATAGTTTTAAAATTTTTTCACATTACAAAACTAACACGTTAAATGAAAACAATTAAAAATTGCACTTAAGCTTCCTTAGTACCCATAACTCCTATAACCACATATAGCCATAATTAATATTCTAGAGTATAGCCTTTCAACTTTTCCTACGTATATATGCATATACACTAAATTCTATTTTATGAAAATGAGATATACCATAATATTGTTTTATAAATAGCATTTCCTACTTTAACAATATGTACCACGAACATTTTGTTTTCTTATCAATAATTTTTGATAAAGCATCCTCCTAAACAATTATAATTGCTTTAGGGTAGGTGCCTTCAATTTAACTTTTGAATAAGTAATACACTCACACTGTTAAAAAAATTTTTAATGTCAAATACAACAAGTAAACAATTTCCCTTGCACCTATGCTACCAACTGCAACTCCATCACCAAGCAGGTAACTTTTGTTATTAATTTCTTTTCTTCTCCACTGTTATTTATTATTTTTAATTGATAAATAATAATTGTATATATTTGTTGGATACAATGTGATGTTTTGATACAAGTTTATTGAACAATCTTTAAAAACGGCTTGATTCTATGCGTCAAACAACACATTAATAACAGGCTAAGTCATTGTATGGCCAATCTTTGATTTTCAATTCTGACTTTTAGCTTGATGTGGACTACAGAGGAAAGAAAAACCAAAATCTATCTAAAGTTCTAAGGTAGCATTAAGTAAAACACAGAAGAAGTTACTTTCACTTAAGCATACATCGTATATCTTAAAAATTAGGCTTGAATATCATAAAACCTAAGTGAAAAGCCTTCACAGCATAGTTTAATACAACACTATCACTAATGAGTTTCTCAAAACAATTTGATAGTATCAACTATGCTAAGAAAAATGACATTTTCTTTACTTAAAGTGGGAGTTTGGAAAGTAGCCATAGACTTTCTAACAGAAGGCTATAATTAGTAGCAGTAACTTGTTCAGATACGGTTTCTTTGACAACAAAAATTTTAAAAATACACTCTTTTGTGCTACTAATTCCACTTTATTATTATTTTTTTAACCACGTGTTCTAATAATGCACTAAGTACTTACATCTGGAATGAAGCCAATCTCATTGAGATGATTACTCAGCTCTGGATCATGAAATGCAATCATCTGAGAGAAGACAGTCAGATACTCTGAAATAACAAAGTTAGAGACAATCGTTATTTTTACACAGTACTCCAAGGACATAATATTCAAATACATTGAATGATATTTAATTTCTCCATAACAATACTTTAATAGATAATTTTGTTAAGACTTTAATTACTTGCTAATTATTAAACAAGTATACCAAAAAACTGTCATAATCTATTTTGTACCTTCAAAATTATCGGTTCATTTCTTGAGTCACAAAACTGTACCCATAATAAATCATGTTTTCTTGTTAAACGCTACAAGCACATTTTCTCTAATAATATTAAATCTGCTTTGTATTTGTTGAATGTTCATAAAGTATACAGATCCTTAAATAAGGGAGAACATTTATAAGCTGTCACAATGGAATAATTATGTCTCAAATTTGTTTATATATACAGATAAATATATGCATCTGTTCCAGTTCTAATTTATTTCCATCTAAGACTTAGCAATTGGCATATTTAGGAATAAGAATTAATGCCATGTTTATTCAGAAAGTAGGGATACAACAGGCAATTAAAAATATCTTTTGTTGATTCTAATCCTATTAGAATTCATAGAGTTCAGTCAAAATATGAGGAATATGTTCTTTTCACTTTTTTTAAATTCTTTCGAAAGTTAACTGTTCTTGCCAGTTTACTTACTATGTGCTAATCTAAACAAGATGGTGCTAACAATCTACTCAAGGGCAAGTTACTATTATATTTTTACTAATTAAAAAACCAAGATTAATACACATTTCAATGAGCTCAACTTTTTTTTTTTAAATATAGACTGGGTTTTGCTATATTGTCTAGGTTGGTCTCCAACTCCTGGGCTCAAGCAATCCTCTCATCTTCACCACCCAAAGCACTGAGATTACAGGTGACAACCTCATTTTTTAAAAAATTGAAATGACAGTAACATCATCAAACTTTTCCCTTAATAATCACAACTTTCTCCTACAGTAAAGTAACACCTATTTTTAAAACCAGTTATTTGGTGAAAATAATCTTCAAAAAACAGTATCTGCCTTGCTTTTTCAGTTTTTAAGTTTTTAACTTTTAATATTTCAAGAGACAGTACTAAATTCTTGATAGTCCATCAGTACAAGTAGTCTTACCTTATTTTTCTCAAATAAAACTTTGCCTCCAATGACCATATGAATTTTATGGATAACATGGTTTGGCTGTGTCCCCACCCAAATATCAACTTGAATTGTATCTCCCAGGATTCCCACATATTGTGGGAGGGATGGGGTGTGGGGTAATTGAATCATGGGGGCCACTCTTTCAGGTGCTATTCTCATGATAGTGAATAAGTCTCATGAGATCTGATGGGTGCTTCAGGGGTTCTGCTTTGCTTCCTCATTTTCTCTTGCCGCTGCCATATAAGAAGTATCTTTCACCTCCTGCCATGATTCTGGGGCCTCCCCAGCCATGTAGAACAGTTAAGTCCAATTAAACCTCTTTTTCTTCCCAGAATTGGGTATATCTTTATCGGCAGCATGAAAATGAACTAATATAATAGGTATTTGCCTATAAGCAAATATTTTATATGTCACATATCCTACGCAGAAGAGCTTCAGGGCAGAAAGAAAAAAAAAGATGAAAAGGTGCTATATTCCATGACAAAGCTGACTTCCTCACTTAATGTGAACTTTTAACCATGCAGGATTAAAAAAAAAAATACTCAAAAAATTATACTTTTTCTTGACCCGACGTTCATTTTACTGCAATAGAACACATTCTATTTGTCCATTGTCTCACCTTTTTCCTCTCTGAACAAAAAAAAGGTACAATTTACATCAGCTTCAAGAGTTACAGACCAAAGTAAACACCCAAAATATATCTGAAGAGCCCAGGGAACTTCTGGCTTTAACTTTTCTTTAGCTTTTTAATTCTTCTTTCCAATTAGTGATGGTGTGTTTATAGTCCCAATTTTCTCAGAAACCAGAGAAATGTAATATCAACAATCATAAGTGTTCAACTGTATATCAATGAAAGCATATAGTTATTAACTTCTAAAAAGCATGCTTCATTTTAAAACACCTCAGGCAATTTTCTACAGCTATGCTCCAGTTTATTAAATATAATTCTTATTTGAGCCTGACAAAAATAATTACTATGTAAAATTACATGGCTAATTAAGGATCCACTGAAGAAATCTAATCCATCATGAAAATATGGTCCTGCCACCATGCACGGCTAATTTTTGTATTTTTAGCAGAAACAAGGTTTTGCCGTGTTGGCCAGGCTGGTCTCAAACTCCTGACCTCAAGTGATCTGGCCGCCTCGGCCTCCCAAAGTGCTGGGATTACAGGTGTGAGCTACTGCACCCAGCCAACACTGATGATTGGATTTATACGTTATAACTGCATACACATGTATACACACACACAAAGACATAAAATATATAAATTTATTTTATGTATTATTAAAAAGTTATACATTATATGTTATTTATATATGCAAATATAATTTGTAAAACTAGTATAAGTTTTGATTGCTCAGGACATGCTTGCTTTCAAATGAGATAACAGTACGGCCTGTTATATTTAGAAAGACTTCTGTCTCTAAAGAGAGCATCATGAGACAACTGATGAAATTTGCCCAATGTAGTATTCCAAGTTACTTCAAAAAAGCATTCAAAAGTCCCCTAATATAAATTTTTTAAATATCAAAATAAATACATGCCTTTTGATTTGTAAATCAAAATGAAAGAATTTAAGAATAGCTGCAAAAACAAAGAAACAAACAAAACCCAGACCAATGGTCAAAATAAAACAAAGGATTCCACGGAATCATGGAATCCTGACTCTTTTTAAGGAGATATTAAAATGTCGTTAAAACTCTGTAATTGACATGGACACAAAGAAGGGAACAACAGACTCCAGAACCATTCGAGGAGGAAAGTGAGAGGAAGGAGACAATAGAAAACCTACCTGTGTCTGGTACTATGCTTATTACCTGGTTGATAAAATAATCTGCACAACAAACCCCCATGATATGCAGTTTACATATATAACAAACATGTGTATGTACCCTGAACCTAACTTAAAAAAACACTCTGTAATTGTGATTTATACTATATAATGAAGATATGAATCTAGAGTCTTAACTTCAAAAATAGTATTCTCTAACCTACATGTGAGTTATAAAAAGGGACATGCTCTTCTTTAAAATAAAAAAAAAAGTTCTTATAAAATTTCCCATTTAACCTTCAAGGGAAGTTTATTATATTTCTGTACAAAATCTATCTAATATAAATTTTCTATAGCTATCTGTGTTATATTAAATGTTAGGAACATCAAAGTGAAAAAGATATCATTCTCTCCCTCAAAGGTTTTAGAAAGACATACAGGTAAACAGAAAATTGGGGAAACTTTTACTTAATTTTATTTCCCAGATTTATACGGTAACCACATCTTCCATGTGTGAATATACCTTGGTTTTATCAAACACTACAGAGTATGTTTATGTGCCAGATTTTCATTGATTAAATGTAGGCTGCCTTGTTCCTCACTGGGTTGAAGCTGCCTTTTTCCTCAACAGCCTAAAGCTTACCTGTCCTGCAACTTATAAACTTGTTTTCCAATACAGCTGAAGTGCTAATCAATAGACTTCAAATTCCTCTATCTTTTTCCATACAATTGGTATTCTAAGATTCTGAACCTTAGAATAATTTTAGTAATCTTAGATAATCTCGACAGCCAATCCTGAATTAATATGTTATTTTTAAATGTTCTCATGTATTGGTAGTTTCTCAACTCAGTAGCAATGTTGCTAGTGATAATTTGATAGGACCAAGAAAATAAGAAATATTCATTTAGGTCAGAAGGTAATTAAATTTATTATATCATAAAAATATCTGTAGGTAACAAGTGAATAGAACTAAGTTTTTTAAAAAAACAGGGTATCTTGATTAAATTGATCATTTTTCTACTGATCTATAAGAGGTAAAGCATTTTCGAGTCTCATGAGTATATATATATATATATATAATATTTTAGAAAAAACTTTAAAGTAGAAAATGTTTTAAGTTCTAATGAGGAAGAAGACCCTTAATCCTCTTAAGCTTCTAAGAGCCCTTCCCCCTAGACTTCCACATTACATTTCAATAGGCGAAGTAAAGGCTGGCAGAGCCGGGCGCCACCCCTAATCACACTCCTGTAGGTCACAGGCATAGTATGGAGGAATCTTTCCGGAAGGCATTGTTTTTACTTAAACACGATCAGACTCCCACTCAAATCACATACCCCAAGCCTACTTCATGGATCAAGACCCTTTCACATGTAATTCTAGAGTTGTAAGCCTTTAAAAGGACAAGGATTTTCTTTGTTGGGGAGCTCAGTTGTTAGGCATCTATGCCGCTGTAGCTCCTGGGCTGAATAAATCACCACTTGCTTCCCAGTTTGGTGTCTGAGAAGTTCGTTTGTGGCTGTTCCTATTTCATTATTAGTGTATAGTAATAAAAAGTTTTTTGTTTATTGTTTTTATTTGTTTTTTGTTTTTTTCCAAAAAGCAATTCAAGTTGCTATTGAACATAGAAACTTTTAACTTCTGGAAAGGTAATTCAAAGATTCAGTTAATAGGTATTTATATGCATTTCTATAATTAGCTTTTAAATGGATTAGTTTCTTATATACGACTTAGGATTTTCCCAAAATTGGTGGAGAAGAAAGTGTACATGTGATATTTATGCCAAACAAAAATCAATTACTACTTTGAAGTGTAAAATTTAAAACTCTACAAAATAAAGAAGGGGAAAACATTAACAAAAAGGAAACCAACAAAATGAGAGCTGAATATTTCTAATTCTAAGCCTAAAATAAACACTTTGAAGAAAAATAAACCACTGTTCAAACTTTAGTAAACAATAATCAGTGTGCTGTTTCAGCTCCTTCTTTAACTTTCCATATCTCTTTCCTACCCATCAGACCCCATCAGAGCAGAATTTGATTAGTGGCTATTTTATCAACCCATTTTGCCCTCTTACTTCAGTCCTCTTCCTTGTG